AGCGACACCACCACAGTCACAAGGGATGGGGGTGAGGAGGGATATAAAGGGTAGGAGTAAAGGTGTAGAAAAGAGGAAGAAGAAGCAACAAAAGCTGAGGAGATAGGAGAGACAGGAAAGATGGAAGCACGGTCACTGGAGTCCGAAGACGGGGCACACTTGCGAGAACTCTTGTCGGCGTCTGTAGATGGCGTAGAGCAAGTCCAGTAAGTCAGAGCTGCACTGTCGTCGAAGGTCGTCGGCGGCAGGAGGTGACGTAGGGCGAGCCCAGTCGGCCAGAGCTATACGCTGACGCCGAAGATCGCAAGCGCGCGGGCGCACAACCGGTCGGCACGGAATCCAGCAAGCGAGTCCCAACACCGACTCCTCTCGGGAAAGTCCTCGATGCGGGGCCGGGTATTCTCTTCTTCCTTTCCTGTGCCTACTGAGTATCACGTCGTAGTCGACTATAGGGGTTCGGGGTCTTGTTCGTCGCCGACACCCGCGGGTATGCTCTCGCTGTCGTCCCGGCACCTGATGGGTTCTCGAGCCGCTGCGTCTGGATCCTCGTTTCGGTTGTCCACGTTCGATAGTTCCCCCATTATGGTGATGGTCATTGCTTTGCGAATTCACCACTACACTATCTAAGCACTTGCATCGATATGATTAACCAACGACGCTAAAACGTGTGGCTCCACTGTTCATCACGGCGTTTATCCTGACTGTTCTCTAAAGTTCTGCTCGATTAGATTGGTTGGGTATCTCCAGAAATCTTACTTTGTGTTTACCGCCCGTCCGTTCTCTCATTCCCTTTTACTGTACCCGTTGGGAGCAGTCGGGCTTTCCCAGTTTCTGTGGCACGTATACGATCGGGTAGTTTCACCGTACATAGGACGGGCTGATTTTGGTTTCGACTCACCATGTGCGACGCCTTTGCAAAGAAAAATAAACACAAACATCTGTGAATGGGTCTTTTTCAGGTCCGTGCATCGCGTGCAGGTTGCCGAAATCAAAACTTGGGGTTAGTAGCTTCTGAAGTTATCAGTGAGAAATCTCGAAGGCGAAGTATTTTTTCGTGGTAATTTGCAAATGTCTACACCCAGCAACACCCAATAGACATGGCGTTCATGACGTAACTGCCAGTGCGCACGCGCAGGCGAGTCTCCCGGAAAAAAGGCACATTACCCTGGCCTGCGCACAGACCTAAATAAGCGATACAAGTAATGTCTGTGCAGATCAGTGTGCGGGCATTCCCGCCGCCTCCAAATTAAAAAAAGCATTTTATTTGCTTCACCGCCAACAAGAGTGAAACTTGGGGCAGATGGTCGTACTTTATAAATATTTCGTGCACCTTCTTTCTTCTGTTCGTGTGTGGTTGCGCTGCCGTTCCAACTATGATGCTTCACCGTTAAACCTTGTCACCCCCCGAGAGGCTTCTTCGCCTGCGAACTTTGTTATTATGTGGCGAAGCTTATTTTCAAGGCACCGAAATTGTGAGGGATCGGCCAAATTTCCTCCATTTTTAACGCGAGAGCGTTGAAGAGCTTGTTTCGCAGAAATTCCATCGTCGGCGTCGGCATCGTTGGTTGTGAGCGAAAAATCATCATCTTATGGGTGACCGAAAAATTGAGAACAATGCCAATAAAATAAATGATAAAAATATCCTCGGTCCGAGTTGCTATCGAAAGCGGCGTCATTTGCGTGACAAGCGGATGTTTTACCCCACGGCCACGCGCACGCTTGTGAATAGGGTGAAAATAACTTCCTCTGCTTGGAAATGCAGCGAAAGTAACTTTCATTCTTTCATATACATGCGTCCTGTATACACGCATCGGAATACAACATTAATCTTTGCAGTGATAATACTCGGTGAAATCCCCCATTGAAGCGGGCTTCAGAACAAGTGATTATCATAATGGCTTCGTGGTTTAAAGCCAGTCACCCACAACAAAAGGCCCACACGCTACTGCGCCTATTCCCTTAGCATCTGTGGCAAGTGCGAAAAGGTTTCATGCACTATAAGTGTTTGAAGTACGCAGTATGAGCAGGACATCGCTACCGCGCTAAACTCCTAAAGGCAAAACTGTAAGGTCCCCTAATTTTTATTACCGCTTTTTTTTTTTTGCACGTAAGAAGATAATATCCCAAGCCATGATCACAGTCACCACACGCAGGTCATAAACTCGAAGACAAACGATCCTGTCGCTTCCTATATTTTTACGAAACAGATAGAAAGAGCGTCTTCAGCTCGTAAAAAGGAACCCAAATTACCCGCGCTTACGGCCGCTACGAGCGGCCTTTTCGGCTTTGCTTAATTTTGTCGCAGCGCGAGAAATGCCTACGAGCTTTGTGCCACACTTAAGGACCCTGAAGATGGCGCTAACGACTGGTGTTCGCTGGAGTCACTGCATATGCTACCATTGAGCCTAACAACAACAGCAACAACAACAACAACAACAACAACAACAACAACAACAACAACAACAACAACAACAACAACAACGACAACAACAACAACAACAACAACAAATCTTACGTACATCGTTTTAGCAGTACCGGTATACCTACGTCAATACCGTACCGTCGTCGTCGGCACGCAGCTCTTTAAAAGCTTTTATTAGCTGCACGAATCACTTATTGCGTAGCGCTAGTGTGATGATATGACTACAACATAGGTCTTGTAAACTAAGGAAATGTCAGCACTTGCCGGCGACGGCGGTTCGGTATTTCCGTGCGGTACTGCCGTAACTGCTAAAGCTGCCTACGTAGTGTTCGCAAATTTCCGTACTTAAAGCACGTAAGTTATTACCATCACTGCTAAAACCTTGATAAGTCTAGTGCTTTGCAAACGGCGTAGCCTTTGTTCATCTATTGCTCTGCTAGGCTATCAGTAAGGAACATTCCTCTTCAATGGGTGATTACTATATAATCATAATTATCTCTCAACGTAGATCGCTTGGTAATAAGACCGAGAAAAATGATAAGGACAGGCTGTTCAACTACAGGCTGAGTCGGAAGCTAAAGTGAGAAATAAGAGGGGTGGGGTCTAGGGGTTATTGAATGATGAGACGACGGACAGATCAAATATGTACAGCGGTATTTTCCTATTTTCCTGCGGGAAGACGCCGCGGATTGCAAGACTGGGAGTGGGTAGTGAAAGCCGACGTAGTTGGACATCACGGTGTTACAATACATATTAAATCATTGATTGTCAGCGAAACTCGAAGTTCATTCACGTAAGTTCATTCCATCAGTACGCTATATATGGAATAAGTTAAAGCAATAATTGAATGGGGATGCAACAGAGTTTCCCACCGGAGCCCCCCCCCCCCCCCCTCCTTCTTTATTTGACGGCTCTGCATCGGTCCACTGCGAATCGGTACATTTCAGAAAATGCAACAGCTTCTTTTATGTTTTAGCAAATCGCGACAAAAGTAAAAAAAAATTACAGCATATCCACAGAATGAATGAAGAATGGGGCGAAGCTTGGGAGGGTTTTATCAGTAAACCGCGAATCCTCCGTCGGTCCATCCGTCTCACTCAGCTGCTCAGTGAGTCATATTACTAGGCGGTGTCCGTCCGTTTGTCTTGTACACTGCGTTTCTGCGAGTGGCGACGCTGGAAGGGCCTGGTCAGGAACTGTCCAGTCTTGTTGTGCCGCTCTTCGGAGCGCGTAAAGGGGAGAGTATTCCTGGCGGCATAGGCTCAGATGATCTCGAACAATCGGATAAGTCAGTTTCCCCCATGGTTTTGACATTACCATGTCTGACCCCGGGGGTTTACCCTTCGTATACGCTCTCAAGTCCGCATACAGCACCAGAAAGGTGTTGCGCGCAGCGGACCCGGGAAGGGGCGAATTATTATTATTATTATTATTATTATTATTATTATTATTATTATTATTATTATTATTATTATTATTATTATTATTATTATTGTTGTTATTATTGAGTGGTGTATTCCTTATATGTACAGAAAATGTCCACTCAAATTGTACAAACACACACTTTGTGTACTGTAGACGTTCGTGTGACATCGCGGTGACATGCAGGGTTCATATTGTGTGTGCGCGGGTGTGTGCGTGTGTAATCAGCCACACGTGTAGTCACGCATCTTTAGCGCCAATAATATGCGTAGGATGAGCTACCGGTTCAAACTGCAAAGTCATCTAAGCCAAAATAAGAATATCTTGGCTTTGAAAAATTTCAGAACAACGCTAATTGTATTATAGCTCGTACACTAACAAAGAGGAAGAGAGAGAGCGAGAGAGAGACAAAGAGAAAGCGCTAATTATTGATCCGTTAGCGCTCCCAGAAAAACGGCCGCCACGATTAACAATCACATCGTTCTAAAAAAAGTACCCTATTCTGTTTTTCTTAAATTACCTTATATTATTTTTTATTAAGCACTATGTGTGCTTGATGTTCATGATCGTTCCTCCTCGCCTCTTTTTCATTCGCAGTTATGGGAACTACGGAACTGTTGATTAACGTTTTCTGTTCCAGATAAGGCAAAACGTCCGTGAAAGGCACGCCGCCAAAAAACCAACACGGAAGGTGAACGCTATGCACAAACGAACAAGCAGATTTTGTTGGAAACGAATTGGTTGGTTGCGAAACTTTATTGAGGTCCTGCAAGGCGCGCGTCAGCGCGCAGCGGGCGTCTCCCACGTCGATGCACAAAATTTATTACTGTGCCCGCTTCCCAGACACCGGTATTTTTTTCTTTCCCCCTACTGAATGGGTGTTGCCATCTGTTGACTGAAGTCAAAACTAGCGTCAAATTGTGGCCTCTAAGACTTTCATCATGTTCTTGGAGCAACATTAGCACGGAAGAAAAATATGCGCACGCTGGTCACATCTCCTGATACTAACTCAACAGTATTTTATCTCTCATTTTTTTTACTCATAAAATAAGCGCAGCTTATTGGCGATGACTGTCGAGAGGCGAGGTGGTCCATTTAGACCGAAGATTGCCGAAGCTGTACAATAGTACGCAACACTGGAAAAACCGAAACGACCAAAACGGCAGTCACTAGCCCGGATGAATGTGTTGACGAGGATCGCGCTGACTTCTCGACAGAAAGTGAGAAAAAAAGGAAAAGAAAGAGCCGCACTTGCCCTGTTCCACCATTGAGCCGGACCCGCCTCGAGCTTCGAAAATAGCCCCAACAACATCTGGTGCACGGAAATGCCGCAGTGTGCGCGATACCGACGTAACGTTGCTGCAGCTGTAGTCACTACGGTAATCGCACCCAGTACATTACCCTCTCACCTTTGAATGAACGATTGTGCTCAAAGGGACGTCTCGCTATAGTAACCGAAGTCAATTTTTACTGGAAGAGCTTTCGCGATGAGTTCCACGGACGACCGAAAACGGCCCAGCCCGCAGGATGTGTTCTCCACAGATCAGGAAACAGGAAGCGAGCTCAGAGACGACGAGGGTAGACGCACGACTCGTAGGCGACGTGCACGCCTCGATCCGAAGGAAATCGGTGACAGGCCATCAACGGCTGGACCTCAGGGCGATGACGGCGCCAGCAACGCGTCAGACGAGGAGAGCGGCAACGGTCAGCACGTCAAGCAGCCGCGCTTGGGCAGCGCCGCCGACCGTCGTGGCGAGCGGCCGGCGGCAGCGACCACCTCCGAAGGCGGCGGCCCAGACGGCCCAGACGTGGACAGCGAGATGGAGGACCCCACAGGGCTGGAAGGGGCCGCCTTCCAGAGCCGGCTCCCTTTCGACAAGATGACGGCTCAGGAAGCGGCCTGCTTCCCAGACGTGGCGCAGGGCCCCCAGCAAACGCAGAAGGTGTTCCTGCACATTCGAAACCGGCTCCTGCAGCTGTGGCTGCAGAACCCCAAGATGCAGCTGATATTCGAGAACGCGCTCCCGCAAATCGAACCGCCGTACAACAGCGACGCACCTTTCGTGATGCGCGTGCACGCCTACCTGGAGCGCCAGGGGCTCATCAACTTCGGCGTGTACGAACGCATCCGTGGACCGCCGGCCAAAAAGCACGGCAAAGTCATTGTCGTAGGAGCCGGCATCTCGGGCCTGGCTGCGGCGCAGCAGCTCCAACAGTTCGGTATGGAAGTGATCGTGCTCGAGGCCCGAGACCGCGTAGGCGGTCGCGTAGCTACCTTCCGCAAGGGCAACTACATTGCAGACCTGGGTGCCATGGTGGTCACGGGGCTGGGCGGCAATCCCGTAGCCGTGCTGAGCCGGCAGATCAAGATGGAGCTGCATCGGATCCGTCAGAAGTGTCCGCTCTATGAGTCCAACGGCACCACAGTGCCGAAAGACAAAGATGAGATGGTAGAGCGCGAGTTTAACCGGCTTCTTGAGGCAACATCTTACCTGTCGCATCAGCTTGATTTCAACTATGTGCAAGGCAAGCCGGTGTCCCTTGGCCAAGCATTGGAGTGGGTCATAAAGCTTCAAGAAAAACATGTAAAGGAAAAGCAAATTGAGCACTGGAAGCTTATATTGGAGATGCAAGAGAAGCTAAAGACAAACCAACAGCGCATGCTGCAGCTGCGAGACCACATTGAGGCCTTGCATCAGCAGCACACAGAGCTTGCCTCTTCCAAGGCACAGCGTGATGTCACGCAAGAATTTGTTCTGCGAAGCAAGCAGCACGAACTAACTTGTGCCTGCAGGGATTGGGACCAGCTTGTTGAACAGCAGAAAGAAATAGAGGACAAGTTGCAAGAGATGGAGGCATCTCCGCCCAGCGACGTCTACCTCTCGTCCCGTGATCGACAGGTCCTTGACTGGCACTTTGCCAACCTGGAGTTTGCCAATGCCACTCCACTGAACAACCTGTCACTCAAGCACTGGGATCAAGACGACGATTTCGAATTTACTGGTGCACACCTGACCGTACGTAATGGTTACTCATGTGTTCCTGTTGCCCTTGCTGAAGGGCTCGAAATTCGGCTCAACACTGCTGTCAAACAGATCCGCCATGGAAGCACAGGTGTTGAAGTTCTAGCCGCTAACACTCGAAGCAGTGGTGGTCTTATTAGCTTCAAAGCAGATGCGGTCCTTAGCACACTTCCGCTTGGTGTCATGAAACAAGCAGTTCAGGGCAACCCTAATGTACCAAACACCGTGCAGTTCATCCCACCTCTTCCAGATTGGAAAGTTAGCTCCATTCAACGACTGGGTTTTGGCAACCTCAATAAGGTGGTGCTTTGCTTCGACCGTATCTTCTGGGATCCCAATGCCAACCTTTTCGGACATGTTGGCAGCACAACAGCCAGCAGAGGTGAACTGTTCCTTTTCTGGAACCTTTACCGAGCACCCGTGCTTCTGGCATTGGTGGCTGGTGAGGCAGCTGCCATTATGGAGAATGTGAGTGACGATGTCATTGTAGGGCGCTGCCTGGCTGTGCTGAAGGGTATTTTTGGCAGTGTGCCACAACCGAAGGAAACTGTCGTGACTCGCTGGAGAGCTGACCCATGGTCCAGAGGCTCTTACTCCTACGTGGCCACAGGTGCCTCTGGAAGTGACTACGACATCCTGGCAACTCCTGTGACGCCACCATCTGTGGTTCCAGGCTCCTCACAGCCACAATCACTGCCCCGGTTATTCTTCGCTGGTGAACACACAATTCGTAATTATCCAGCCACTGTGCATGGTGCATTACTAAGTGGACTGAGAGAAGCAGGTCGTATTGCAGATCAATTTCTTGGCTGTCCGTATGCTCCTCCAAGACAACCTCAGTCGTAGGCATTCCGTAGCGTTTATTACACCATCATAGTTTCCTCAATTGTATTTATGACTGGTAGTTTGTGTCGATGGCTTCCCGGTGAATTCCTGATAAAGATGTGTAGTGTGCATCATTGTGTATCCAACATGGTTTTTCATGATGCACTGTTGCGTATTTGTATTAGTACCTCAGAGCTGATAAGCAGTAAGGCACATCAGTTTCAAAGTTACACAAGCTACAGTCTTAATATAAACAACACAATATATTTAAAATGGGCTTATGCAATTGCGTATTGAGGCTGTACCTCAGTATGTGTTTTGATTTTAGTTTGCAAGTGTTCTTGATGATTAGCACTTGTGTTGGCATCATATATTGACGGTATTTTCAGCAACACACCAAGCAGGTCATGACATGTAGACATCTTGAGTGGCCCCTTTTTTTCATTACTTCATCTTTTTCCACAAAACTAGCTTCATTAAAATGTGTGTCAGTTCTTGGGGAGCACGCAAATGTTTGGTAGGGTCACATTTGTGTTCAAATGCAGTATGAGCAAAATAATGTATGTGCTGTTGGACAAGTCAAAACACTCTTCTTAGTGCAACTCTGGCTATTTCTTGCTTTCTCACTCTTAATAGTCCCCTAAGCCACCCTGAGCTTGAAAATTTGATATGTAGTGTCAGCTGTACATCTTCCACAGAAAACATATTGCTACAATTGTTTTTGTTCTCTTCAAAATAATACCACAACTGCAATACTGCAAGGTTACAGGCACTTGGTGAGCTTCAGAATTTCTCATTTAACACTGTTCCTCTTCCATCTAGTAGTCATTTCTGTGCGCTCCCATGTCCATTCAATGTAGCTAAGGCTGTGGGTTCCAAAACACGGCAGAAAAAAGGCCCTCTGCTGTATGCCCCTAATTGTCATTCATGCAATGATGACTGAAAGGTAGCTTTGTAAGAGCTTCAGTTATTTACACAGGGCAAGCCTGCCTCCATTCTCAGAACATGCAGCTGAAGCTTTTTGTGTATTACTTGACAGGTTTTGGTGCACATGCTATGCACAGTGACCTGCTTGCTTCACAATTTGTCAAGAAGCAACATGAAATGTTCCGACAGGAGCATGAGATTGGTCTTTGAACTTACAGATGCTGTGTGGTTCAAAGCCTTGCGATATCCTTTTGTGCTCTCCCGTATCAGTGTAGCCGGAAAGGAGGTTTCAACCTTCCCCAGAAATTTTTTGGTTTTTCATGTCTAAACATACATGCACACCTATAAATGTACACACTAAAATACGTAAGGTATGGCTGAACCCTCTCCCTTTTTCCTGAAAAATATTTCTAGATACACCCCTCTATGGTAGTCATGGTATTCTCCACACAATGCACATGTCAAGCTGTCAGTCTAACAGAGGAAAATGAATGTTGAGTGAGGCGGTTTAGGGGCCCTTTAACAAATGCCAAACATGGCTGATAATACCAGGCCTCAATTATGCCATGATTGCATTCCATTTATCCTTCATGTGCTTTATTATTGGCCTGAGTGGTCTTGCTTCTTTGTCATAACCAACACAGCACGTCCTTTATACCCTGTTTCATACATCATATGCAACGCTGTGGAGCCTAGCGAGACTTGCAGTCTATGTGTTCACAACAAAAAACGGTTCAGCGTTCGTTCGTACCGCCAGTCACGGAATTTTCTTGTTATTACGGCAAGAAGTAATTAGAGATATTTAACAGGCGGACGAGAACGACGTAGAGGACAGAGAGGAAGACGAGGCTGACAGACTCTGCGAGCTGGGCGCCATCTTGTCCGCCACCGAGTTAACTCTGTGTGTCTGCCCAGTAAAGTTATTCTCCCCGTAACATTTTGGGTGGAAGGCGCGAGTTACTCGCTTTACGAAAGACGAAGTTTTGTAGAAGGCACCAAGTTGCCTCTTCCTTGGCGACCTAAATTGCCCTTCTTTGACTAGCTTGCTTTCTCCAACCGGCCCATCAACACTCATTTTGGAGCCCTCAAGAGATCCAGGTACCTTTTCTGGCACCGATGGCGTTGACGTAGAAGCATGGCTGAAGTCCTACGAGCGAGTGGGTGTAGGTATGCGATGGGACCCAACGTTCATGCTGGGCAACGTGATTTTCTATCTCAGAGGCACCGCAAAGGTCTGGTACGAAACACACGAGAAAGAGCTGACTACTAGCTGGGAGTTATGCAAGCAAAATCTCCGGGAGCTATTGGGCAGGTCCTGTGGGAAGTCAGTGCGCTGCACAAAACGAGCTCGCATGTCTGGTTCAGACGTGCACCGAATCTTACCTCACGTACATTCAGGATGTGCTCCCTTTGTGTCGAAAGGTGGACTCGCAGATGTCTAAAGCCGATAAGTTTCGCCATGTTATTAAAGGCATAGCAGATGACGCCTTCCACCTTCTTGTCTTCACGAACTCATGTATTGTCCAGGACATCATTTCTGAATGCCGGCGCTTTGAAAAAGCCAAAAGCCGCCATGTTCTCCACCAGTTTGCCCGCCTTCCTTCCAAACACGGCTGCAACATCCACGTGTGAACAACCTGGCCTGCCTTTATGGAAAGTCTCGGTAATGTTGTCCGTATTGTCTGTCGAGAAATATAAACCGCGGCTCTACTCGCGTCACCCTCCCCCAAATGTGACCGCTATCGCGTCACCATCTCCCTCAACCAGACCGTTGTGAGGCAAGGATTGGCCAGCGCCGGCTTGAACGTCATCTGCTCCATTCATCATCCAGACTACGCCTCACCAAATCCACCGTCACTGTTCCGCCCAACCGACGTGTTTCTGCTACCCCACGTTATCGCAACCCGGCGGACTGGCGCACACGACACGACCGGCCGATATGCTTCTATTGCGGTCGTATAGGCCACATTTCGTGCCACTGCCGTGCTTGGTCCAACTCTGCTCCGTGGCCTCACCCTCCACCCTATCGCCCACCTGCCTGGAATTCACGCTCGTCACGGCAAGCAGTTCCAAATGCCAGACAACTCCTCCGGCACTCGATCCAGCCGCTACCCTTCGCCGCAATGCACTTGGAAAACTGCATCATTTTGTATGTTGTCAAGCTCTTCAAGAAATGTTTTGGTTTTGGTGATCAGTATATATTTATGACAATTCACTTGATGCTGCTGTGCTCCCCTCATTTGTAAACATTTATTTATGCTAAACTGGTAGTACTGAATATATTGTAAGGTTGGTATAAAAAAACTGCTAGGGACATAGGTCAAAGCCAAGGTACAAGGCTAGAATTTTTCACAAACTTTGTAACTATCTTTGTAACTATCTATCTACAGGGCAGTTGGCATTTTGTTTGCAACAATCTCACACCTCAGAACATTCTATGCTACCATAAATATTTGGACCATGTGACATTCAGTCCAGTATAAACTGCCAGACTTGTTTATTTTTAGGTACTAGAGAAATACTGTGTCAAAATTGCATTTTGATTTCAGTCAGCATGCTTGAAATGAAATAATAGTTTCATGTCAAAGAATCATGGCTTTGTATGAATAGAATTGTACTGTCATTGTCATGAGTATCGATTGAATGCAGAATCCGTTGCTGTTCGTGGGCTGTGAACTTTTATGCTATGAGCTGTTGTTAAAACATTCCAAAAATGACCTCCCCTTTCTACCCAATCTTCACATTATTTGTGTTATGATACTAGTCGGTGCACTGCTTGCCGATATGACTGGTTATATTTCAGCTGACAAGGAATCAGGATAGACATTCAGCAGTCACATTTCGAAGTATCTCAACCATTCTCTGGTGTAGCATTTTAAGTATAGCAGGGCATTGATGACCAACCTCGTAGGTCGTATAGTAGACAACACAGTCATCTTATGCCACCCACAGTGGTCATCAACTGCTATTGGCTGTTTACACAGAATAAGACATCTGTTCACCTGAAAGCCAGAGTAAAAATATTTCCAGTCAAACTACGTCGGTAATCACCACAACATATAAAGTGAGTGTGGTAACAACATGCTCGACTGCAGTCGTATATCCCCAAGTTGAAACACTCACTCAGTGTAATCTCATCTCCTTGAACAGGCATCTATTATATAGGACAAAGCACCATTGCAGGTATCAGAAATGATACACTTCTTCATGCCTGTCGGCATTTAATGATGTATACAAGCTCACAATTCGCTTGAAATCATTGTGCAAAGAGTTTATATTGGTGAATATCAACTTCTCAAATCATAGGCAAATATAATGTCGTTCAATTTGCATGCAAGGGGTTTTTGGTAGGGGTGTATGTGAATATACGAAATTTAATTTTTTTATAATAGTATTTGTGATTCGATTCAATTCACACTGCAATTTTTATTCTAAGTATTCAGACTTCCCAAAGGACAAATACAATCGACGTCCAATTGGCAGTGGCCCCTTCAAATTTTAATTAAAAGGGCCCGTCACACTCTCGTATTGTGGCAAAGCTGCCTTTCAGGGCCTGCTATAGTTGGAAATGCATTAGCTCTAGAAAACGCTGGTTCCGACATGCAGATGATAGATGTGGCAGAGGTGGGAGCTCAATTAATGTTGTATTGGATCTGAAATTCGGACAGCACTTAGGTGGCACCAAGTCATGTATATAAATACTGTTCAGCCTCTGCGTTGCCTCATTCTTGATAAGACAACTATGAAACACCACGCCGCCATCGCTTCATCAACCTAGCTAAAAAAAAAACTGTCGTGTTGCTATTTCATAAGAATATGCTCAGGAATCTTCTCCAATTTTCCGCCATTTCGCTTCAAAGTGTTAAAAAAATATTCAGTTCTCGGACACATTTCAATATTCAAATTTGTTTTGCACTCAGAATATTGCTATTTGCACACCTCTACTCTTTAGCAGTCTGTGCATGTTTCATGATTGTGTCATCCTGTGACTACCTTTGCCACAACCATCATGCCTAAAAGCGATGAAAGCCTATCTTTGAATAGATGTGCCACTAGATGAACAATCTTTGAAACAAACACACGTATTACTAAAGCTTGTGCTAGCAAGAACAACATGGCCAACCCCATCGCAATCGCCATAAGTACCTCTACACACAAAGCTAGGACAAAAAAAATGCATCTACATACGGCACTTGCAACACCGCTGTATTCCATTTTGAGTGCTGGTGCCCGTCGCATGTGCACCAATATAAAACCTGTGCGCAAGCTGGTGAGAAAACTCGGCTGTAATTTCCCACTTTAGCTGAGTGGTTGTTTTGTTTGCTTCTTATGTGCATTCCATTATCTACAATTGAAGATTGCTGGTTGTCTGGTTTCCAGATTATGAAGTTTTCATATATATATATGTATACATATACTTCCTGAGTGTGTGTACACTGATTGAACTCGAAACTGTGTGCCGAGCTTCCGAATACTTCGATGCTAGTCCTACAGCGTGATATTGTTGGCCATGCCTTTTCATTAACTGAACAGTGCAGATCACTATTCTTTAAATGGTGTGGCTGTCTGCAAGATGTTTGGCGGGACATTACTAGTTATTCCTGAAGACATGCTCTTGTTAAGTTTCACCCCTTGTAGACAGTAGTGCAATAAAACTGGTAAAGCAAGCATTGTGTGTGAACAATCCTCATAGATACTGATGTTAGAAGAGTGTGCTTAGATAAAAATGCTGGGACCTGTAGAGATGGTCTTCTTTATACCCCTGGGATCTTGTTTCTCGTGTGCATGTTCTAGCTGCAAATGTCGCTCACCAAGCTCTTTATTGTGCACAGGTATACGAACGCCGGAATTAAATTAGGCTGAAGATGATGGCACTTCCGGAGTTCTAAATATGCCACGAGCAGAACTTTTATAAGCGAAAATGGACTCTCAAGCTAAGTAATGACAAGTGGTCAAAGGCATTTACAAATTTATAAACCAGCTCCTTCTATACTGCTTCGCTCAATATTAACTGGAGCAGTAAATTCCAGTGGTAAATTCTGGGAACATTTTCTTACTCTAAAAGTTCGTAATCATGCAAAAATACCATAAGATACGTGATGGTGGTGTAGTTCGAGCATGAAATTTATAAGTAGAAAGCTTGAGTTATGTTCTAATCACTGCAACTGCAAACATTGATGCGCTCACAGAAAAGTATTAATGGAGTTTTGGAAAAGCAATCTGCAGTGTTGAAGCTGTTTTCTTTTTTACTGCTTTCACTTTGTGTCTCTATAAAAATGTTTTTTCATCTGTCTTGTGCAGAATAAATGAAGTGTTTCAGATGCCATTGCTTCCACCTATTGCCTGTGGGAATCACTTAGAAATCACTGACTGAAGCCATTGTCAGCTCCTTCATTACAACACTCATTTCACTCGTAAAACATGCACACAAGAATGGTAACACCGGGATAGAGTAGCTGTGAAAGCTCTTACTCTTACAGTTTGTGCAATGCTGTACTGAGAGTTGTTCCTGTAGATCTCAAAGATTGTTACACAAGCGCAACAACTGTTGAAAAGATCGATTGATGCAAGAAAATTTGACAAAAAGCTTTAGCTAGAGCCACAACATTTTGCAAATAAGTAAGATGCATTCATTCTGTGGCGGCAACACCATTGACTTGGAGTGAAGCAATTACTCGACACTGCAAACCTGTCAAAAACGGTCCATTACAGCACAACTCATAAACTTCTAAAATATCCAAAGACTCTAAACGAGTGCACAAACATTTTCCCTGTATGGAAGTGGCCCACGGAGTTACAAGACAAAAGACTCATGTATGGCAAGACTATGTGGTAGTGGCCCTGGGCTAATACTAGACATATAGTAAGTGTGCAGTCTCATTACGCATGTGCTTAGGCACCTGATGAGAAGAAAGTGATGTCTCTGGGTATGTAGAAAACCCATTACGTGTAGATATAGATTAGATGAGAGACTTAATCATGAATGGAAGTTGGGGCATTACAGTGTTTGTAAATCTGACTTGCGAGCTGCTGAGCATGATGTCGCAAAGTTGATCCTTCAACATGGTAGCTGTATTTCATTGGAGTTAAGGTGAAATGGCGTTTGTCAACTTAGGGTGAATTTAATGTAGCCTGAGGTAGTCAATAATCAGTCTAGAGAGTTCCCTCCTCCAGGCCATGCATAAGGTTAGGGTTTCATTGGTAAATGAGGCTCGTGAAGCAGCTTTTAAATTACAATTGTGGTAGATGGTTTTTCTTGTACTGCTTGCTATTTAATCTTCCTAAAAGGCTAGACAACTTACCCCCTGTATAAATTCTGCCGTCGCAACTCTTGTGATGGAATTCGCAATGTAAAAGCAGATCACTCGTGCCGAACTAGCATTGAGGGAAGCGTGAACTTTTTTTGTCCAGAAAAACGATGAAGAGGAAAATGAGGTCTGTGCATTACACTGATATTTTTGTCGGCTTTTGCTAGAAAAAAGCATCGCTGTGATGCACTGCTCTATCACTTCAGGCATATTGCTTAAAGCACGGTTCATCTTAGAATAAAGTGTTCGAATTTTACAGAGTAGACATACCAAGTACCGTAAAATGCCGAGCAAGCGCCCCCACTCGAGCAAGGGCCCTCTCCATTTTTCGTGAGATCTTAAGCGCCAATGACTAGGTCCTGGGACCAGGCAAGTGCCCTCTCCCCAAATTTGGTCGGATTACTTTTTACCGCAAGGAGGCCCTTGCTCAGCATTTTACAGTATGTTCCGCCTTCTCCCGCCTGCAATTTTCATTGTATCATAGGATGCCTAGCATAAAATTGCACAAAAAAGTAGTATAACCAGCTCATCTCTCATTGCCCATACGAAGGAGTGCCAACACAGAGGCATTGTATTTTATTTCCCAACGTTTGTTGCATTTGCATTAGCATGGAACAGCATTTGCATTCAATGCTTTGTGACACCTCGAGAAGGCACATATTGGCATCTTCTTTAAAGCCACCACGTGTGCCTTGTGTCGCTTCAAGACTGCTGCTAAGCTGCAATTTCTCTAGCTACTTATTGATGTATAAGCACTGGTCCTACCCTAGTGTAACACCCCTTTCGTCCCTCCGCCTGATCATGTATAACGTAAAGAAAGAATTGTGAGAAATGACAAATCTTTAAAAATAAATTTCAAATGCAGCCCTGCCGTGGTGGTCTAGTGGCTAAGGTACTCGGCTGCTGACCCGCAGGTCGCTGGGATCAAATCCCGGCTGCGGCGGTTACATTTCCGATGGAGGCGGAAACGCTGTAGGCCTGTGTCCTCAGATTTGGGTGCACGTTAAAGAACCCCAGGTGGTCGAAATTTCCGGAGCCCTCCACTATGGCGTCTCTCATTGACAGTGTTTGGGTTGTTAAACCCCACGATGTAATCAAAATCAAATCAATCGAGTTTCAAATGCAACAACTTTTATTCGCATGATTGCTAGATGTTGACACAGCACCAGATTGTGTTACCTTCACTGGGTTTCAATAAAATTTACTTTCGCTTGCGTCAACATATTTACCAAAATGGTCAGTTCATGTGCGAGAACATAGTTTCAAATTTGTACAGTTGAAATTTCGTTTAATGAAGTGATGATAACACTGGCATTACTTAATTAAACAGGAACTTCATAAAATCAAGAAGCAAGAGTTACAGTCCATTGAAATCTAAAATTGTAACTGTGTGGAACCCAAAAGCTACCATGGCATTGTTTTTACCGCTAAACCACACCTGTGAATGTGAAAAGTTCGTGATGGAGCCTCTCATGGATGTCCAGGAAATGTGAAACTATCACAGACTGACCATGTGCAAAAACAAAGAGAATAAAAGCAGCGATTGTGCGAGCAAGCTGAGCAAGAATGTGGCAAAAAGGCAATTGTCACATAAGCCATAAAAAAAGAAAAGCAATCATTGTAGTGTTCATGTGGGTACGTAAAGGCACTGCTGACAGTTCAATTCATTGTTTCATGCATGGGTGCTGTGTGCAGCCTCATGAAAATGAGGCTGCACACAAGCTCGAGTCTAGGGTGGCTAGACGTCTTAACGCTAAAGTGTAGCAGTAAACTTTTGATAGTATACCTGTTTGTGTGAAAATTTAAAGGAAATCAACACCTTATACTAATTTAGCATAGTTAAATCATGTTTGGCGTAACTTCCGTAGTTTGGGTTGATAAATTGGGTGCCTTCTGAGCAATAAAAATGTCTTCCTAGATGGGGAACTTCATGGAAGTGGGCTTGGTTACAGTGAGCTTTAGCTGTAGCACAAAACTCCGAGTGTGAGAAAAAGTGTCATTGACAGAATATGAAACATTGGTCAGATGAACTAGAGTATCTGGTTGCACCACTGGAACCACTGACGTGAAAAAGACATGCTCTGCATTCACTGATTTGCACTTATTTCTTGAAACTTCTAAAACAAAGAGATATGAAAACATTTTGCGTCTTCGCTTGGTTTTGTTGTAGTAGTACTGATACAAACTTTCAAAGGCACAATAACTTGTGAGATAGACTCGTGAGCACACATCACCTGCGAAATATGAACGGCTAATATGGCTTTAACTTTGAAGTGCGTGTCACGACACAACTGCACACGAAACGTAGCACCTCGCGACATCGACATCAACATTGCTAAATTGTAAACAAAACTGCATACGTACGTACGTAGGACACAGGTTTATGTTGGCCATGAAAGATTTTCTTTTCTCCATGGCGTTGGCTGTCATGCGCCAGTCATGCGCGCCTCGTGTGCGCTTTCTTCCGCGGCACTGTACGACCCACGGTTTTGGATCGCTTTAGTGCGCTGTTCATGTGCGCAACATTTCCGATGGAGGCGGAAATGTTGTAGGCCCGTGTGCTCAGATTTGGGTGCACGTTAAAGAACCCCAGGTGATCGAAATTTCCGGAGCCCTCCACTACGGCGTCTCTCATAAACATATGGTGGTTTCGGGCCATTAAACCCCACAAATCAATCAAATCAGTCATGTGCGCAAAGGGCGCTTGGAGGGTGCGTCACTTCCGCACTCTCAAATGGTCAGCTGTAATCACACACACACACACACAAAAAAAAAAGAAAGCGAATAAAATGTATTGTGGGTTTAGTCTTTCTCAGTACTCTCTGAAACCGAGGCTTGGACTGCATGTCGTGCGCGCTTTGAAACGTGTTCAAGTAAGCTTTAGCAAACGAGTTTCCAGCGTGATAATGCATGGGCCGACTAGCTACTCATCACAACAAATAAAAAATACATGTACCATTTTTGTGCGAGTGCTAGCTGCTTTTATATGTGGCGAAAAGGTGGCGCCCGCCTGTGCATCTGTGGTACACTAGCTCTTGCTCAAAGTTGGTTAGTTAGGTAGTTAGTTATTTTTTTTTTGTATATAAAAACAAATTGTATTCTGAGCTAGACTGGAGAAATCTATAAATCGTTACCTCCAAGGGCACGCTTTGCCGTAAGGAAAGCAAAGCAAAAATGCCAAAATTATATGCGAAAACAAGTATTTCAAAACAGGTGTCTCTGGCGTATACATAATACTCTTATTTTTGGGGGGTGGGTGGGTGGAGGGGGGTTTGCATTTAGCAAAGCATGAAATTAGCAAACAATCTTAAAACATGGCTTTTGAGATAGTTTCCGTTCCAGTGCTCCCTTCACCGTGCCGATTGCGGGGGACGCATCACCATTGCCATCAACTTCATTTCATGTCGCGCCAAAATAGGTAATGCCGGCGACGATGACGTTAAGCGTTTGAATGTTTCGTTCGCGATGCCATGAAAGTGCGGAACAATGTGGACTAACGTGTGCGCTAACTTCGAAGGTGAAACTACGGTCTTTGGTCAACGCAATGAGGAGAAAGCTGGATCTCAGCTGTACGAGGTCAGAACGCAGTTTACGATTTGTTCAGCAGACTCCCCAGGCGCGGTCCCAGTGCAGCAGCCAGTCGTAAAAGGCACTGTTTCACAAAAACATTTTGCCGTCGCTGTCGACGATGTCGTCAACGTGTTCAAGCATGGCGGGTTCCTGTTCTCTGCGTGTTTTGACGCTGCAGTCGACGCTGTCGCTTTGTGCAGCGACATCCTGGACGGACTTCTCATTGTCGCCGAGAGAAGTGCCACCCTGCACATATTCACCGTCGAGTCCGCACAGTGCATCGTCAAGCTACCTGTCCCTTGCACGGAAAGTGACATTACGACTGCGCTGTTTCGTTCCGTGGACGTGAAGAAGAACGGCGACAGCTACACCATTTGCGTGTTGACGGGACACCATGTCATAACAGCCGCGATTAGCCACGACGTGATCACGCAGCTCGCGTCATCAGACCAACCAGACTTGTCGCTGCTCCAAATCCACGTCGTAGACATCATGTCAGCACCCTGGACGACAGGATGTGATGCTTTCGCTGGTGCCAATGGCGAGCGCTTGCGTGTTGGATGATGTCCTTTTGGTCACTGGTGGGCAGGGAACTGTTTGCTGCATTCCCACGGTCGCTGGGAGTTCGGCCTATAGCATTCTTTATGACGTTGCTGGCGAACGGGTTCGTAAAATGGTTGTAGTGGACAGCCTCTGCACTCTGCTTACTCTCACTGAAGGAAGTCGGCTGGTCAGCATCAGCTTGAAGACTTATATCATCAAGGACATTTGGTCAGAGAAGATGGTTGCAGACTTTGCTTTCTGCGAAGAAGCCGCCTCTAGAACAGAACATGGCTCTGAGCAAGAGTACAGAGTGGCTGTTTTAACAGCTATTTCTGAATTGTCTACTAGAAGACTAGAGATCTACAGCATCCCTGATTTTATCATGTTGTATGCATTGGAAGTCAACGAAACCTGTTACATGATGTCATTTTGTGGCTCCTTGGATGATTTCTGGATAGTTGAAGGCTTCAGCGATAATGAGGAAACCATAACTGAACTCAGAGTTCGCACAATCAGCGAGGCACTGCCTGAAAACCATTTGATGAAATTGATTTGCAAAAACAAATTTGCGGAAGCTGAAAAGTTTGCAGAGCTGTTCAGCCTCTCTGTTGAAGAAGTTCACTGGAACCATCTGCTGTTCGTACTCAAGGAATTGAGCATTAGGATGACAGATGCATCGATGGATACAGATGATGAACTAAAACTAGCCCACGATGCTTGCGACTTGGTGAAGATGCTTCCAGATACCGTACAAGTTGCTAAGTGCTGCATTGAGACACCCTTTGCCTCAGTTACTGTTGCATGCAAGCTGTTACTTTTCTTGCAAGGATATGTATCATCTGCGCAAAATTGTGACACTGAAGAACGGGAGACTGTGTTAGCTAAAATTACACAACTATTGAACAGGGTTAACACGTTCAGGTTTCTATGTGACAGTGACCTAAAAAGTGACTGGTTTTCATTTTCACAAGCTGACCTAATCCAGGAGATCTCTGCCCTCTTCCGAGATGACCATGTGTCTGCAGGATTTTTCATATGGGAGCGCCATCAGGACGAGTTCTTGCAAGGCTTGAGCTGTGATGTCATCCAACAGCTTTTAGATTCCCTTCAAATAACTGTAGAGCTTTCTTGCCTTTACAATGGCTTAAAGATAGCTTTCTGCCTCTAATATTCGGCTCATTGCCCGAGTGCCTTGAATGCGTCTGCCAGTGGGTTGTAGGCAGAGTTCTGCAAATGGAAGTCAGCAGCAAGAAGTTCTGGCCCTTTGGAGCCTTGGAACTCGTGAAGGTTGTTTTAGAGAACTTTCAAATAACCAGCATGACAGCAGATTGCGTGTCGTTGAATACATGGCTGGTTGTGCATAGTGCTCCGAAAAAGATAAGGGATGAAACAAGTGCGCTGTACAAGCTGTATCATCTCTATCTGGACCTCCAGAACCTTGACATGCTGTGGAGTAAATACAAGTGTCGTCTCGCCCTGCAAGAGCTGCAAAACACTGACAAGCAAGAAGTGGCATTTTCAATCCTCGATGAGGCAATTACAACGGAACAAGTTACCTCTATTGTGCAGGGATTCCTAGTGCAGTTTGTTCAAGCCAGTGGGCTGGACATCTCAAATGTGCTGCAGTGCTATGTTGATCAGGTGCTTCGCTACAGAGATGTCAGCTTGATGCACGATGAGCTTCTGGAAAATAAGATGGTTGCCTTAGTGGCGCTTATTACCCATCCTCAATGTTGGCTTCAGACTATAAAGAAGATTCTTAGCCATGCACATGTGCCGTGGAGTGAAAGCATTCAAGGGCTTGCTGATCAGGGTTGTTTGCTCAGAGGTTCAGTTGCCAGAGAGATTGATTGCTGAGAGAAAGAGAATGCAGGCTAAAACGATTCTTATGCGCTATGACATCAGCTTGTTTCGTCTGTCTTTCACATCCGGTGCCACTGCTACACTCGTAAGATGCATTCTGCTTAGTGAAAAGCAAGAAGCCTTGCAGGATGCTCTCACTGTGGCCAAAAACTTGAGTGACATGTCAGAAACTGATGTGTTTTTGCTTTACCTGCAAATGGCTTATGCCAAAGCTGACATTGATAGATTTGCCAAAGTGTTGCACAGTGTCCCCGAGGAACTTTTTCTTGAAGTTGCTCCCAGACTATGTACATTTGCAGAGCTTCTCCTGAAAGCGCCACAGCATATACTCGGAGGCGAAAGCTGCCGGCCTGACGGAAAATTGGCAGTATTTACTGAGCATCCTGCAGCAGAGTTCAGGGGCTGGTGCCATTGATTATGATACAATGCACCGACAGGCTCGCCAGGGAATGATGTTAAAAAGAGACTTTGGCATCACTGCTTCTACGATTGACCTGTGCTGTGAAAGTGACAAGCTTGAAGTCGTGAAACAAAGCTTCCAGAAAATTTTGTCAACTGAATCCACACAAAGTGCGGGCGCATGTAGGAACATCTGCAAAAAGGTTCTTTACCTTGCTGGTATCTTGAAGCTTGATACGCAGTCTGCCATAGAAGTCATGCTCAGTTTGGTGCTTGAGCTTAAACGAGAAGACATGGTGGATTCATTGTGCACTTGCCTGTTGGAGCTCCATGATATTCGAGGATCTATCCTCACCATTTTGCCTATGATATTTTCTCAGTGTGAAGACGTGTTGCACATTGCATCAACGGTGCATAATATTGCTTCCCGAGTAGTGGTGGAATCCGGAGTTAGCGATGTGAACAAGTGTACTAATGTTGCTCTTTGGGCGGACATTCTGGTGCAAGCTTCAGTTCCATTTGGCAACGCCGGCAATCGCTCAAGTGTTTCTGCATGCACGTGCTTGACAAAAGGACAGACTCTTCTGCACAGCAGGCACGTGTATGCCCTAGATAAAAAGCAAGTGCTGACACACTTAGCTGCTCTGGGAAAGTCTGTATGGAGTTTTCTAGACAAAAAGCAATTAGAACTTCTTGAAGCAGTGAAGCTTCATTTGCAAGAAACATGCCAGTACCTTAGCGGGAGGTCTCAAGATGAGCTTTGCCTGTCTTTAGTTGCAACAGTTTTTCACATGTTTCTTGATATACCAGGACCAAATGCTATTGAGAAAGCACTTCAAGAGGTGGTTGAACGCCAGATCAGCAAAAATACTATTTCAATCATTGCCCGAGCTTCAGCTAGAAAGCATGCCGACATGCCTTTCTTGAAGGGCCTGCTGTGCAACTTGCAGCCAGGAAAGGCCCTTACAACACTAAAGAAGCTTATCTCTCAGTGCAACAACAACTTTAGGTTGTTGAAAACTCTTGCCACTCTTGGTTTAGAAGTCTGCAGTGACTCAACCCAGAAGTCGGCATTTCGCTGTCTCGTGAAAAGTGCCTACTGGTGTGAGAAGTTGGCGAAATTGGACCTTTCCATTGCTGATGCATTGACAAAACAGAACACTGCTGTCTTACAGTCTGCTCTTGAGCAAATGGAGAAGTCTCCGTTCATTGATGTTGATGGTCTTGCAAACTACTGCAGTTCCTTTAAATTGGACAAAGAGGCATCACTTTCTCGAAGGCTTGAGTTTTTGTTGTGCGCTCAAGAAGGAGATCCTTGTGCTAAGGGCTGGAACCTGCAACAAAGAATAGCAGAGGCTTCTCGTGTGCTTGAGAAAATTCCCAAAGTATTGTTGCAAAAGGTGCTCATGAAAGCTCTAGCCAAAGTAAACCCATATAACTATGAAATTTTGCGATTTGGCTACGACTACATTAGAGCCATTGAAGAAGGACCGGAGAGCAAAGTTGAAAGGGAAATTGGCATACTGCACTTTCTTGAATCGTACAAAAGGTACAGCCCTCCTTCAGAACAAGAAATGGACTTGTGGTTTGAAGAATATCCGCTGGCTGATATCTCGTCTCTCATGCAGTCAAGATTACCATTTCGTCATTTGCTTAAGCCATCGTTGTGGCATTTTGTCACCAATGAGCTGTACCCTGAAACTGTGGATGCCTGGCTGAATGTTGCAGACACACTCGGGCTAGATAAAGATGACATTCGATTCATTGCTGTGGACAATGCCACCCGCACGTGGAGTGCGCACCATCACCAGGGAAACGTGTTGGACGTGACATTTCTCTCAAGCGTCAAGAAATTGATAGAAGAAATGAGCATAAAGGAAAAAGCTGTTGCATGCCTGATCAAGCTTCTAGAGAACTTACCAAAAGGCCCGACAGCCACCAGAGTTGCTAAAGAATGCGCGACATTGCCTGATGCATTTTTTGAACCTGGTGAGGCAAAATCTAAGGTGGCCGATGCAAAGGCGAAATTTCGAAGAAAGTACATAAGGCTACGAAATGAACAACTGCTCAAGCAGCACAGTTTAAACTCTGCTTCGTACTTGGCGCTCTGTGGCAAAACAGCAGACCTTGTAGCTGCATTGCTGGAGGACACAAGGTGGCAGCTTGTTTTTTCTGATACGTCAGCACTCTACAGCTGCGTAGATCAAATCGCTTTCAATGACGGTGTGGTCCAGGTAGATTTTCCCAGTATACTTGAGCAGTCTGTAAAACGTTGGCTAGGGTTTCAGGCTACTGAAAACACTGGCGATGAAAGTACATTGGAACCCTTGTTTTGAGATGAGTCATGTGGGCATCACAAAAAGATGTGCAAATTTCGTCACCATCGTTCACCTCATGCAACACGTTCCAGAACAAATGAAAGAAGTGCTTTCTAGCGTAGCGTCAGCGAGTGATTGCTTCACTGGTCTCAGACCACGCCTCTTTGCCATCATGTGCATGCTAGCTGGTTCCGGAATGTTCGATCTTAGTCTTCTTGACGTGTCGCAGAATTGTGGCATATCCAATCTGGAGGATCTCAGGGTATTGACTTACAAAGCCAGGTCACAGCAGCTCGGCATATCACTTCCATCTTCGGGTTTTACTGCCGACAGTGCCTCTGAAATCGCCAGTGCATTCCTCAGTTTAGCCAGTCACAGTGCTACAGCACTGGAGTTGATGTGTAATTTCTGCATTGATTATCACATCCAGACTGTGCAGACATGGGAAGCATTTCTTTCGGCAGCCACAACTGCCGGCGCTACTGACGCCATTTGTCGAGCTCTGCCTGTACTGGGTGGCCACCCTCTACTCTGGTCCAAACCGGCATTCATCTCTGCATGGCAGTATGTTCTTCAGAGTGCACCTGCCTTGCTGCCTAGTGCATCAAGCAGGCTACTGCCATTGCTTCTTCGCTGCCCAGTCGTTCAAAGTCTTCCGCCATTACTACATGAAGATGATTCCTGCAATGAAGAAGGTGTCATTTTAACGTTGTGTACATGTTATTGAGAGAACCGGGAAGTGTTCAGCATAGTGTGAGAAAATTGCGGAGGCAGTTTTCTTCAAGGTCACTGAAGTTGCTTGTTGCTTGTAAAGATCAGGTGAACATTTTGAAAATTCTAAACGTAAGTCAAGCTTTGGGGGAGATCAATCAGCAAAACATTCAATAACTGCTGTGGAACTTTGACTAAACAAAATTGTGACTGTGTTTTGTTGTTATTATCACAGTAATTAGATACTTCATCATGTCAAACAGATGATTTAACTTTTTCATATTTGCAGTTTTAGGTCACAATGTTTTTCTTGTGTGAGCAAAAAAAAAAATGTATAACATAACCAGGGCCAGAGACATCGCATGAGGATTTACAGCAACTTGAATGATAAATCACTGGTTTTACTACCGTGAAATGTTCTTCTGGAACAGTGTGCCTGTTAACAGCATAAGTGACCTACATAAAAAAAAAAAGACAGATTTCCATAGGGCTTATGGGTTCCAACCTCGCACGCTAAATTGTTGTCTCAGACTGGACAATTCTGTGGGAGTAACTTAGAAAACAAACAGTAGGTCTCTGTGTTTCTCCAATCTTGGCAACATTGCACCTCGAAACAAGAGAATTGACGTGGACTTGAGTTGAGAACAGTCGTGTACGGCTCAGTTTTTGTGTAGTTTGATTTTAAGTGCCCGAATACCTAGCTTTGTTTAGCAAAAGGTGACGTGCCAATGCTGTGCCTCTAGAATGGTTACCGCTGACCACTTCTGAGCCTACTGCATCCGAGAAACAGTGACTCTATTTGTGGCTAGAATGTGTGCTCAGAAACATTTTACATCCAGTGGTAGCGCAAGTAATGTACACATTATGTGAAGGTGATATAAATAAAACTTTCACTTTCCAATACAAAATTTCATCCATGATTTTGTACATTAGAAGCATGTCTTCGTGAGCACAGTAAGCATGCAAGTACTACTGCTTGTGTACTAGAACACCTTGTAAGGTGTGTTGCACTGCTTAAGTGGCAATGTGCTAATGAATGCATGGAGGTGCTTCGTGCGTGCTTATCTGAGTTATGCTGCAGTGTGAAACCTGAGCAGGTCTAGTATATGAGAAGCTTGCGTTTTCTTTCTGTGTGTGCATACACAAACATGAAAATATGTACTGTGTTAGGCTGAAACAAAGCCACATATGAACTTCTCAGGCAAGACAATTATACTTTTGATTGCAGCAGTAACTCATCACATACAGCTCATACAATTAATTCTATTTGCACGACTGTTTTGTGGCTTGGTACCAAGTAATTTGTTTCCAGTGCCATTCAAAACCTTATAAACAGATGTCTACAAATTGGATGATGCAAATGATATGTTTCCCTAACAAAGAAATCAGAACTGTTAACAACTCAGGGACCCAAGTTTGACATAACATATGAACTAAAAAGATAATAAAATGTCTTGGTGCCCTCAAACCAGTTTTCTATATACAGTTTGTGCACATAAGTATAATTAAATGCAGTCATAGTGATGGCATAAACTGTGCATTTTTCAACATCCACACATGTGCTTTATATTCTATCCAGCGACTGTATCTCCAAAACACTCTTTAACGTTTCATCGATATAGAATAATGGCAATATGAAACTATAAATTGTAGCTTGTATTCACTATTACATTTTAGTTCACGAGTTTCTTCTGTGCGCCACGAGAACATGATCGTATCGACTGCATGCGTTGTTGCAAAACATGTTCAATTTATTTTGTTTTAACTCATTTCTTGAGTATTATACAAACTCGAGAGTGTACCTGCTTGTGATTTCATGTGATAAGCTTGACAAGGAATAGCGTATTTCTGCAAAATTGATGTACAGCACGTGTTCGTTTCACCATGAGAGGAAAAGAAAAAAAAGTTAAATTAGAATATAGGGTCGGTGCACGGAACAGGTGCGTGTGGATGCTGGTGCCGCTGCACATTCTGCATCCCAGCATGCCCCCTCTGTAACCACAGAATTCACAATGATGTTCCGTACTACGCCGAGTAATTCGCATTCAGAGACATTGAAATTCCCCATTTGGAAGAGTTTTCCCTGCAAATGTTGACAAAATTCCCAGCATATTTCCCTGCACAATACTACTTATATCCACCCCAATCCACGCATATGCGGACTGGCCACTTTTGAAATCATGACTAGCCCTTCCACTGCTGCACAACAAAAGCATGACTATATTAATTCATATACTGTTAGTACACTGCACATTGTGGGCTTCATGTCTAACCAATAGTGAACTAGAAATCGCTCTGTCTAAATATCAGAAACAAATCTCAAAGGCTATGCTTGCGTGGCACACGCGCCAGGACCGATTACAGCAGATGAAGGCGCACTGTGATCACTAATTATCGGTTGTCATTGAAGAATTTAACCATTCCTCAAACTCCCTACAATATAACGAAGATTCCCTTTGGCTCAAAATCAGAGGCAAAAATTTCCCGAAAAAGGGAGAATTCCCTGCACGGAACATCACTGAGAGTTCATAATGCAGCAACACAAACAAGTCACTTCTCTATTGGCATCTTCGGCTGAGGAGCACTGGCACCGTGACAGTGGAAGGGAAGTTACGTCGAACACTGCCCAAGTTTCACGCCTTGCTATGGGCCAGACAAATGTGTGAACCACAAGACTCAAATTGCGCTCGAATCAACGACAGCAGCGTCGTCTGCAAGAGACGCCATTCAGCAAACGACAATTTCCAGCGTCATGTTTGCACTAGAAATAAAAGAGCAAATGATGGGAAACCATGCAATAAGAGACACTTGCGATATGCTAGGTGTCCAGTGAGTGTGCGTCTGTTCTTCAGGCAGTTGTGCTATATCAGCCTGCAATCTCTCCAGATATTTAGATTTTGCCTTCTCTCATTCAGTAACCGAGAGCTGTAAATGACACAAAAATATACTCGATTCTCTAATTATCAGTGTTCTCTCTCCAAAGTTCTGTTTTGTTAAGTTGCCCACATGCCATTCTTGTGCCATGCTTTATTTTTTGTGTTATCTTCGTGCATTGTGTACGTAAACTAAAACATTTCATTTTGTGTTTAATGAAAGGTAAGCTTTGTTCATTACCTTTGGTCAATGTCACTGATGTCGAACAGTACCCAAAAGAATGATGCAGAGAGTTATACTTCGCAGCTGTAGCCTCAATTATTCTAAATCAAAGCAGAACATTGCCACCACATTCATGACTACATATATGTCCACTGTGAATGGCCTCCTGGGACTAGTATGTTTACGTGCAGTGTACTTGCGTGTATTTATATTTGTGTATTTTTGTGCATTTATAACAGTCATGTGAATTAAATTAACTTCCCATTTTCAGTACTCGATTGTCAAGTAACATTGAACTTACACCACAGGCTCAGGCTCAACTTCTGCGAGTTCAAGCATGGCCTCAAAATGGGGTCCATTTTATGGTCGGAATGTCGGCTACTCCGGCTCCGCTTCTCTGCTTGTCGCGTACCTCCTGTTGCTTTCTTTTACAGATGTCTCGTAGATTCTTAAACCTTCTCTCAACGAAAATACCTGTAAACAAAGCCGACGCTGAATAATGCTTTCTGCATACTGTCTCACTGAGTAATTTTCTACTTTGTTACTGCACACTCAAGCTGTGTGTGCGTGTGTTTTTCCCAGAACATCTAAAGACTGTGACTCCAGTTGCAGCATACCAGAAATCTGAATATTGGGCATAAAAATGAATTATATGCCATATAAACTAATAATAATGGTCGGGGTCATGGTCTATAGCTAACACCATGGTTGGGGCTTAACATTGCAAAACGACGACATGATTGAAACACCTGCAATCGAGTGTTCCAGAAATTTCACCCACCTAGAATTTTTTAACGTCCACCTGGATGTGCACAACATCACAGCTGACGCAATGATTCTTTGCACAGAGAGTTATGTACTCTGTTTCTTGAAGGTAAGCTTGTCTGCCAAGCTATTGTAACAGAGAAGCTTTTTATGCTGTCGGCAACTGGAGTTCTGTCGTAAAAGCTCATTTTCATGAACCAGCACATAATGTCTTCATTACCTTCACAGTGAAGCTTTTCAAGCAATCACTGTGCTCAATTGTGCAGAACTCCACAGGCAAGTATGTGCCATAGGTATCGGGCAAGCCGCACTACCTTGTACAAGCAGGAGCGAGTGTCATCAAACAAAAAGCAAATGTGTAAAATAACTGAAAAAAAAGATAAATCTATAATTAGAGCATGATGCTAATTTTGAGAGAAATAAATGGAGCAAAGATAGTATGACTGAAAGACACTGAAACAGAGAGAGAGCGAGAGAAAGAAAAATATATGATGAGAATTAAACGGACCAAAACATGAAAACATGGGAACTGCATAGAA